ACCCAGGTGGTCTTCAACTGATAAACGGATAAAGAAAATGTGGAGTAGATACACAATGGAATATTACTCAGCCTTAAAGAGAAATCAAATTATGGCATTAGCCAGCAAATGGATGGAGCTGGAGAATATCATGCTAAGCAAAATAAGCCAATCCCAAAATACCAGAGGCCAAATGTTTTCTCTGATATGTGGATGCTAATTCACAATAGGGGCAGGGGTGACTAGGGAAGAATAGAGGTACTTTGGACTAGACAGAGAAGAGTGAAGGGAGGGGAGGAGGTATTAAGATAGGAAGGATAATAGAATGAATTGGACATTATTACCCTATGTGGGTATATGATTACATGACCAGTGTGATTCTACATCATTGTACAACCAGAAGAATGAGAAATTATACATCTTTATGTTTGATGTGTCAAAATGCATTCTACTGTCATGAATAACTAATTAGAACAAATACAAAATAAAATAAATGATTTCTACTTTAAAAAAAAAGAGTTAACTTTTATGGTACCTACTCTATACCAGATCTTGAAGGTCCTGGTAAACAGCATCAGAAAGTAAGCAGTGTCAACCCCATGACACACAGAAGAATGTGGAGGCCCAATGGGTTGAGGGAAGATGCCCAGCAGCTAACATCTTACAGGTACAGAACCAGAATTTGGTCTACCAAGTTCTAGTATTTGTTCTCTTAATCTTGCTGTTTTTTCTGCCTCAGTTGTTTCCTCTGTAAAATGCTAATACACCAACCTCTTCCCTTCTAAAGTTGCTGGGAGAATTAAATGAGATTTTGTAAAAATTCCTGGCCCAAGTCATGATTGTGGGTGAATGTTCCTACCTTCTGTCTGGGCTTTGGTCTCCCAGCCATTCAAAAGGAGAAGATTGGACTCTGAAATCCTTCCTAGCCAGCTACAGGTCACCAGAGCTGATTGTTAAAATGTTTAGGTATATTGTGAGCTGATTATTAAACATAGCCATTTAATTTTTTAAAAATTTTAATTTATTATATATAACAACAGAATGCATTACAATTCATATTACACATATAGAGCACAAATTTTCATATTTCTGGTTGTACACAAAGTAGAGTCACATCCTTCCAAACACAGCCATTTATAAAAGCTAAATTATATAACCATAAATAAATAAATTTCATTTAAATCAAAGGTAATAAATATTCAAAAGTCTTCACATCCTAATTTTTCGACTATGTTTTACTGCCCTCTGTGTTCTAGAGGTTGCTTAATGATGTGCTACTGTGCACTCCCAATCCTAGTGCACTGATATCATGTTTCTTGCTTGACATTGACCTTGATTAGTATATTTACATCATTGTAATTGCTGAACAATACAAATCAGATTGTCTCCTACTTTGGCTCCCTCCAGGATGGAGTCTTAAGCTTTTATTTTACAACACTGTCACTGACCCTTATTTCAGCTCTGATGATGTAATCTACTTCAGAAGGGATTCATCTCCCCATAGAATGGATGAGGAAACCGAGGTCCAGGCAGGTTCAGTGAGACTTGATATTGTCAAGATGTCAATTCACCCTAAATTGATCCAATGCAAATCTGCCACAATCCTGATATTTTTGCAGAAATTGACAAACTGATCCTAAAATTCATGAGGAAGTTCAAAGGACCCAGAATAGGCAAAACAATCTGGAAGAAGAAGTTGGAGGAAATATGCTTCCTAGTTTCAAAACCTACTAAAAAACCTACAGTAACCAAAACAGGGTGGCACTGGCATAAGGATTAGCATGCAATTTAATAGCCTAAAATTGACAGTCCAGACTTAAACCCTCAAATTCCATCAACTCACTGATGACCTTCAATGGGGGAAAGGAGGTCATTTCAATAAATGTTGCCAGGATAAGTTGATATCCACATGCAGAAAGATGAAATCGGGCCCCTACCACATATCAGATACAAATTACTTCAGAATGGATCAAAAAATAAAGCCTTTAAAATATAGCATAGGAGTAAATTTTTATGACCTTGGATCAGGCGATCTCTTCTTAGATGTTACTCCAAAAGTAACAAGAGAAAAAAGAATAGATAAATTGTATTTCATCAAAGTTAAAACATCTGCACTAAAAAGGACACCATCAAGAAAGCGAAAATACAGCTGGACACAGTGGCACACACCTGTAATCCCAGTGGCCCAGGAGGCTGAGGCAGGAGGATCACAAGTTCAAAGCAGACTCAGCAACTTAGTGTGGTTCTAAGCAACTTAGAGAGACCTTGTTTCAAAATAAAATATAAAAAGGGTTGGTGATGTGGCTCCGTGGTTAAGCACTCCTGAGTTCAATCCCCAGTACCAAAACAACAAAATATATAAAAATACAACTCATAAGAGACAATATTTGCAAAACATAAATCTGATAAAGAACTTGTATCTATAACATGAAGTACTCTTCCAACTCAATAATTAAGAGAGAAATCAGCAGGTGAAAAACTTGACAAAGGATCTGAATAGACATTTCTCCAAAGAAAAAATAGAAATGGCCAATAAAAACATAAAAAGATCTTTAACAACAACATCCATCAGTGAAATGCAAATCAAAACCACAGTAAGGTATGTTTTCACACTCACAAGGAGTTCATAACCCACTTGAATCAAATGTATGAAATATGATATGTCAAGAGCTATGTAATGTTTTGAACAACTAATAAAAAAAAAGGATGAGTGTAATAGAAACAACAGATAATAGTAACTGCTGGTGGAGATGGAGAGAAATTGAAACTCTCATTCATTGCTGTGGGGATGCAAGATGGTGCAGACACTTTCAATCCCAGCTCTTCAAAAGGTTAAATATGGAGTTATATAACCCCACAATTCCATCCCTAACTATATACCCAAGAGAAATGAAAGCCTTTGTCCACATGAAATCTTTTATGGGAGTGTTCAGATCAGCATTGTCCATAATAATAAAAAAAATAGGAAAAAGAAAAATTACCATCAACTAACTAATGAATAAACAAAATGTGCTATATCCATAAAATAGGATATTATTTAGCATTAAAGAGAAATGCATGCTGGCACATGCTATGATAGCGATGAACCTCAAAGACATTGTGCTAAGTGCATAGAGCCATTTACAAAATATCACATTTTACTATTTCATTTACATGAAAATTTCAGAATAGGGAGATCCATAAAGACAGAAAGTAGATTAGCCATAACCTAGGGCTGGGTGGGTTGGGAAGAATTTCTTTTTGTTTTGTTTGTGTTTGTGTTATTTTTGGTGCCAGGGACTGAACTCAAGGGTGCTTAACTACTGAGCCATATCCCTAGCCCCTTTTATTTTTTATTTTGAGATAAGGGCTTGCTAAGTTGTACAGAGCCTCACTAAGTTGCTGAGGCTGACCTTGAACTTGCAATCCTCTAGCCTCAGCCTCCCATGTTGCCAGGATTATAGGCATGCACCACCATACCACCTGGCTCTCATATTTCTTTTTGGCATGATGAAAATATTCTAAAATTGACTGTGATAATGATTGCACAACTCTGTAAATACACTAAAAAGGTTGAGTTTTGCCCTTTAAATGGGTGAGTTAATTGTATCTCAATAAATCCATTACAAAAGTAAAAGGAAGTTGGGCACAGTGACACACACCTATAATTCCAGGAACTTGGGAGCCTGAGGCAGGAGGTTCACAAGTTCAAGGCCAGCCTCAGCAACTTAGTGAGACCCTGTCTTAAAAAGAAAAAAAAAAAGGTAAAAGGAAGCAGCAAAAGAGAAACAGGGAGAAAGAACCCAACCTCTGTCCAAAGCCCTGTAGTTCACACAGTAGGTCTCATGTGTTATCCCACTGCATCCTCCCAGAAGCCCTGTGGTGGAGATATCACCTCCATTTCAAAGATATGATGGCTTCATGCAGCCTGGTCTCAACCCAAACAAGAAAGAAGGGAACCAGCTTAGGTAACTACCAAGAGCAAAGTGCTGTGTTAGACTCTTCAGGCACGTCATCTCAGGTCATCCTAGAATACCCTAGGAAAAAGCTATTACTGGCCCCATATTACACATAAGAAACCCAGGCTCAGGGAGGTATGGACATAAATGCTTTGTCCCAAAGCCCACAGCTACAACAGGACAAAGCAGGATCTGAATCCAGTCCTGTTGAATTCTAGCTAGTGTCCTTTCCTCTGTGCTCCTCCTGATACCAGGATCCAAGTCCTGGGCCCTTGCTCCTGAGTGCCCCTACCTACTCCCCGTCCTGGTCTCTGCCCAGTCCCATGCAGCTGACTTGGTGTATGCTTTCTGCCATCTTCTTTTGCCGGCCAACCTGCTACCACCTGCACTATGCACAGAGAACAAAAGGTAGACTTGGCACCATAATCAGCTGGCCCTATTCCTTAGGGGGAGAAGTTTCAGTGCCAGAGAAGCTCACCTGTGCTTAAGGAAGACCCGGACAACCCAAAAGAAGGGGCAAAACCCACTCTCCAGTACAAATGGGCCAGAACAGAGATCTCTGTCCTACCTGCCAGGGAGCCCCTGAGAGGGGCAAGGAGATCATGGTCCTTCCACAGGAGCTCCTGGCCAGAATCCCCACCCTGAACAAACCCACAGCAGAGCAGAAGGCACCACAGTGGAACGGCGGTGGGAAGAGGGATGTTCTCCACTGGGAGCCCAGACGCTGGATGCCTAGCCCAGCCTTCACCCCTTAGTGGGAGGTGATCACAGCACAACATACTCATGGCCTCTCTCTTCCCCATTGGCACCAGGAGTAAGGGTCTGAGCTGAGAGAGGAGCTTTCCCTAGGAGAGAGGCTGGTCAGGAGGAATGCAGGAATGCAGAAGATGAGGCTGAGGCTGGGCTCCGTCACCATGGTCATCTTACCTGACAGGCCAGGCTTCGGGGCAGGACTTCCCTGCTTGGCACAGCCAATAGGGACAAGGACATGCTGGTGGGACAAGGGCCAATTACTGCTGGAGTGGAGCTGGTTCCTCATAAGGAGAGAGAAAACTGCTCAGGATTCAGCCGAGCTGCAGGGCCATGGCCACCATGAGTGGTGAGTGGGGCCCCTCCTCTGGGTCACAGAGAGAAAGGCCTGAGGAAGGGGTGCTGGACTCTGAGATGGGGAGAGGAACTGGATCAGGGGAGGGGTCCAGGAGCTTTGATGAGGGTCTGAGGAGAAGTTTGAGTACAGGGCGTGAAGCAGCAAGGAGATTAGGGACCGAGACAGGAATAGGAGCTCAGCTGGGGGCTGGGGCTGGGTCGAGGTGCTGAAAATGAATCAATTGAATGAAAATGGATCTGGAGAATGAGTTTGGGGGTTGGGTTCATTTAAGGGAAGGACATGGGGACTGAGACAGAAATGGCAATACCTCGGGGAGATGGGGAAACCTGTCAGGGGTGGAGAATGGACTAGGGAGGTTGAGTAGGTCTGGGGGATAGAAAGAGAGGAGGGAGCTTGGAGATTATTTCCTCTGGGCTTGGTCATCTGTCCCCTCTTTTCTGAGTTGTCCCAGTGGAATGTTCTCTTCATGGAGAAGGGTCTTTGCTGAAAGCCAGCTGGGTCTCCTACCCTTCTTTAGAGAGTGGCCCCTGAAGATCCCCTTCCTTCTGGGAACTTTGGTTATCCATCAGTACAAAGATTAGACTAAGGGGGTTCTCACCTGCCTCCCCCCCCCAAAAAAAAAAAAACCTAGAGCTAGTAGAAGGAGTACATTCACAATTACACATTAACTTTACAACTAACACTACTGAAGTTCACACATACACCATCCCTACATAGAGACAGCCACAAATCACTTATCTGTGGCCACACACCCACCAGACACTGCCCTGCCCTGACCACTCTGCATTCACTCATGCAGCCAGGCTCCTCCTGGGCAAGGCAGGCAGGACCCACAGAGCCTGGGCCCCAGCAAGGTCACATGCATTGATTGCTCTCTCTTCCCCCAGGTATTCTGGTGTTGGCACTCCTGCTGGCTACCTCCAGCTGCCTTGCCTACTATGAGGACTTGGCCAAGTGCTTCCAGGACCCGAATTATGAGTCCTTCCTTGTCACAGCTCAGGAGGGACTCCGCACCTCTCCCCTGCCCAAGCGCATAGTAGTAGTGGGAGCTGGCATGTCAGGCCTGACAGCAGCCAAGACCCTGCAGGATGCTGGCCATCAGGTGAGGAGGTCTTGAGCAATGGCACATAACCTGCTGGGCCCCTGGAACCCTTAACATTTAATCATCGCTAACTTTCATTTGCATTCCTGTGGAAACAAAAGCCAAGAGCTATGCTGACAGGCAAAGGCCAAGAAGTGCCCTGTCCCTGCTCACCAGAAGCTCTTCAGTTTCACATCTCTCAGGACCGTTCTGGAAGAAATGCCCAGTGAGGTTGCCATGCACTTTTGAAGACTGATGATGGGGATTCCAGGCCAGAGCGTGTGGCATTGTAGAAGTGGGAGTAGGGGGTGGGGAGAAGGGAGACACGTATCTGAGAATGACAGAAGTTTCTCTGGATTCCCAGGTAACCATCCTGGAGGCCAGTGATCATGTTGGGGGCCGAGTGGTCACATTCAGGAACAAGGAGGAGGGCTGGTATTACGACCTGGGGCCCATGCGAATCCCCAAATCCCACAGGTAAGTCCTAGGAGAGAATTGGAGCAAAGGACAAGTAGGAGAGATAAAGGAGAGGTGGGAGGGGCCCTGCTGCTATCACATCAGAGCCCTTTCAGATTCACTGCGTCATGTAATTCAACTCTGTAAGTCAGGATTAATGCTTGTCTCCCACTTAACAGAGAAGACCAAGGCTCAGAGCCCAGGGTCACACAGAAAGTGGAAGATCCCACAGTTAGAATAGTTACCATTAACTCATCAAACTGTATGCTTTAATATGGGAAGTTTCTTAAATGACAATCATATTACATTAAGCTGTGAAATTATAAAAGTTATTAGCAGTACCTACCATTTGTTAAGCACTTACTTTGTGTCAAGCCCTGTGCTAAGCATTATATTTACATTATTTGATACTTACAACCCTATAAATTGATGATTTCCATTTACATATCAAGAATCTGGGCTCTGAAATATTAAGTGACTCACCCCAGTTTCTCCTAAGAGAAGCAACACAGCTCCTCATCAAAATCAAGGAGGTACCTGGCATAAAAACAGTTGCTTGATCCTTAAACTATATTTGACTCTTGAGGTTTCCAAAACAAAATGATCCTCAGCCTGGTATCCCACATACTTCCATAAATATGACTTATTTTTTGCCTTTAATGTAAATTAAAACCCAGTTTCTCTCTAAACTTTCAAAGTAAAAACACTAACTGTAACAGCCCAAACTAGGAGTTATTAGATATGGCTTCACACTACTTAGAAAAGGCAAACAATTCCAAATACTGCCTGAAACAAAAGGCCTCATCTCCACCTTTGTGTCTCATAAACTGGGAATTCCTTAAGGGCCCTAATTCAGTGAACTTCCCCAGGGCAAAACAGAAGAAAAAAAATAATGCCCGCAGCAAGAAAAAACAGAGAATAGAGAAACCAGTTAGTCTGGGCTCCCTGGCTGCAAGAAGAAACTGGTTTTCCTGGAAGAGGTTTGAATTGTGGGGTCAGCTAGAACAAGGATGGGGGTCAATTTATTACTGTCTCTGCTCCAGGCTAATCCACACCTACGTCAAGAAGCTTGGCCTGAAGCTGAACAAGTTCATCCAATATGATGGCAATACCTGGTACCTCATCAATGGACAACGACATCGCAGTTGGGAGGTCAAGGCCAACCCAGAGATCCTGGGCTATTCCATGAACCCCACAGAGAAGGGCAAGAGTGCCATGAATCTCTTCCACCAGTCCATTATCAAGGTGCCAACTGCCTTATCCCAGCTAGGGTTGGGAAGGAAGAGGGTCTCTCCTAAGGCTACTTGGCAAGTTAATGGATGGACTCAGGTCATCCAACTCCTACCTGGTGCTCTTGTGGTGGATCCACCTTCCTTCTAACACCTGCTAAGAACGTATCACTCCCAACCCCACACCAACCTCCTCCCCCCCCTCCCCCCCCATCCCCGTCCTTGGGTAGTCCAATGGCCTATTACTTGATCAGTGGAAGCGGGAGGAAAGGGAATCCTAGATTAGCCAGTCCTTGGTAATGAATCACTCCTCCTGGATCACAGCGAAGTTCTCTGCCTTAAATTTTAGTCTCCAAAAGGTCTTTAATGAAGGAGAGATGCTTGGAGAAAGAGTAACAGGCAGGAGTTCCTGGAACTACCACCCCTCCTCCTCCTTATCCCCACTTTTTTCAAGGGACATCCAGAGAACCCAGAAGTCATGCCTTTAATTTAAAGGAATGCAGAGGCACCAGCCTCAGTCCCCAGACATCCTTGTCCCCAGCAGCCTGATGTCCCGGAGGCCCAATTTGAATGGTGGTATCTCTCTTCCCCTTCTGCAGCTCAAACAAAGTCTGAAAATGTTCAACTGCAGCCACCTGATGTCCTTCTATGATTCTTACTCCACCAAGGTGAGAGTGGCAAAGAAGTTCCAGGATGGAGATGGGGTGGTGGACTCTGTGCTCAGCCTAGCCTCCTGGCTTGTCATCTGCCAACCAGGATGCTCTCTTCCCACTGCCAAAGGCTTCCTCTTGCTGGAGTCCATTCCCACACTGGTCTGGGTCCAGGCGCCTACTGGATCTACACTCTGGGCCCTCCACCCCACATTTCCATCTTCTGTACCTCCCCACAGGCTTACCTGGTGAAGAAAGGGATGCTGAGTGGAGGCGCAGTGCAGATGATTGGAGATGTGATGAATGAAAACGCTGGGTACTATAAATCCCTCCTGGAGTCCCTGAGGAATGCTAACATCTTCTCCAAAAGTGATGAGTAAGGTGGATCTGGGGCCAGGATGAGAGTCCTCCTCCTCCCCAACACTGATTTACTGGGTATTTACATGTGCCAGACACTCTGCCAAGCACTTTCCAAGAACTGTCACATCTAATCCTTAATATCTCCTATAAAGTAGATGGCATTATTCAGAGCCATTCTACAGGTGAAGATGCTCAGACTAGGGAACTTATTCAAGTTCACACAGCTTAGGCAAGGGCTGAAGTCAGACTCCAAACTCAGGTCTGTAGATTTCTACCTGCAAAGTAGAATTTCAGGGTAACTGAATATCTGTTAGATATTACATCACGCTATATCCACTACCCCAGATTCAGCCCTAGATTGCCTATGTGATCGTGAGAAAGTCACTTTAGGGTGTCAGTTTTCCAAATTGTCAAATTAAGTAACAATCCCTTCATGACAAAGGCTGTATGTGAAGTGTTCTGCACAGGGTGCGGGGAGCTAGTTCCCTCTTTTTTTGTACCAGGAACACTGGAGACAAGGAGGCACTTGGGCCTCTGGGTGCCTCCCCCCATCACTCTCCCCTCCCTTCTCCCCTGCAGCTTTTATGAGATCACCGGGGGATTTGACCAGCTTCCCAGAGCCCTCAGCACCAACCTAAAACCTGGCACCATCCATTTGGGATCCAAGGTGGAGATGGTAGTGAGGGATGGGCCTGAAGTTCGGGTTTTGTACCGCAAAGGTGGGCCCACCTCGGAGCTGCACAACCTCACTGCTGACTACGTCATCATCTCAGCCTCTGCCAAGGCCACGCGCCTCATCGCCTTCCAGCCACCTCTGTCCCCAGACAAGACAAACGCTCTGCGCTCGGTGCATTACACCAGTGCTACCAAGGTGGTTTTGGCCTGTGATGAGCGCTTCTGGGAACGGGATGGCATCCGAGGCGGGGTCTCCATCACTGACGGGCCATCGCGCTACATCCACTACCCCAGCCACAGCTTCCCCAGCGGCAAAGGTGTCCTGCTCGCCTCCTACACTGTGGATGACGATTCCCTCTTCTTCACTGCCATGAAGCATGACCAGGTGGTGGATATCGTCCTGGATGACCTGGCGGCAGTGCACCAGATACCCAAAGAGGAGCTGCGGCATCTGTGCCCATCTTCCGTGGTCAAGCACTGGTCTCTGGATCCCCTCACTATCGGCGCCTTTGCTGAGTTCACACCCTACCAATTTATAGACTACTCACAAAAGCTCTTCCAGCCAGAAGGCCGTGTTCATTTTGCAGGGGAACATACCTCCCTGCCCCATGGCTGGATGGACACTGCCGTCAAGTCAGGCCTCCGGACTGCCAGGAACATCCAGGCTGCTGTGGACAAGGAGGCCACTCAGGGAAAGGCGCCTCTGCACCAACCCTTTGCCAACGTCCAGGATAGTTCCTCCAAGAGCAATCCCTAAGGTAGTGGGCACCAGCAGGCTGGGAGGTGGAAAGAGGAGGAAGAGACGCAGAAGAGAGGTTACCATCTGTCTCTCCCTGAACCCAATAATGCCAGGCAAAAAACTCAGCTAGCAAGTGGGCAAGAAACATCACTCCCTTCCCTGTTTCTCTCCCCAGCCGGACCTACAGAAAAGAAGCAGCAGAGTCAGGGCTTATGGAGGGGGAAGGGAAGAATCAAGGGCAGAGAATACTAAAGTCAGGCCTTAGACTGAGGAAATAGTCTCTTGCTGCATAATCATAACAGGAGAAAAAGAAAAGGTCCAACAATACCTAATTTCTATTACCTACAACTAGAAGTCCCTGAAGGAACAGACAACCCCCAAACCACAGTAACGCTAAACCACATACTGACCACACATGCACTACCACAACACACAAACCCCATCCTTGCATGCCTGGACAAGAGCTCCATATCTTAGTCCAGCGTGGAGACAGGACAGAAAAAATTCTTTTCTACTTTTTTTTAGTGTGTACAGGTGGGATCTTGGCCTCTATCCTCACATCCACATCCACATTGCTAAACAGAATCCCCCACCTCCACCTGCCCAGCCCACACATCTTCCTGGAAGTCTCCCCACTCTTCTAAACCCAACCTGTCTTTCCACACTCCATTCAAATTATTTCCCCTCCACAAATCTTCCCTTCACAGCCACCCAACTCCCAGGGATCTCTCTTCTTTGAACCTCAATTCTTCCCCTCTAGAATCCCAACCATGTGGACTACAGATCTTATTTTTCTGACAGATAATCATGTCATGGTGGCATATTATCTCCCTACCTAGACAGAGAGCCCCCAAGGGCTGAGATCTAATTTTTTATGTTTTGGTGCATTTTCCTTGGTAGTCACTAAACACACACTATGTCCTTCAGCCCGTCAACACTTATCAAACCTTTATCTTATGTCTGCTGCTGTGTGAAGAACCAGAAATATAAAAAATGAGCAGCATTATTAAACTGAATCCACTCCTCCCCATGTCCCTATGCTTCCAAAGATCAGCTCCCAAATTGGGCTCAAATTTTTTCTCAAATTCTTGGAGGGCAAGAACCACTCCTAGGTATTGGGGCTCAAGTAGACAAAAGGAAAAGTAGATCAAGTCACAAACCCTCTTCCTGGAGAAGATTCCCCACCAGGAAGACCCTGGTGGAGCACAGTAAAGGACTGATATTCAGTGTCCTGTGCTAAGACTGGCAGATGGTATGGTGGAAGGAATAGAGAATTTCCTGGGAAGTTTTCCTAGGAAACTTTTGTTAAAACCCTGTAAGGCTCCTTTCTGGTTTTCCATTCACCAGTATATTATTTGGGACCTTAGATTTAGTTCCACGTGACAGAAACCAAATTCAAACTAACTTAAGGAAAAAGGACATGTTTTGGCTCTCCTGTCTAGGAAGTGCAGGATGAAGCTGGTTTCACTCAGAGCAAATAGATTCATGACTAAAAAGACATCAGTTAGGTCCCCTTTCCTCCCACCCCTTGGTCTTACTTTCCAGACGTAGCTTCTATAGTGGGTTGAATAGTGTCCCCAAATTCATGTCCACCCAGAAGTGATGAGTGAGACCTTATTTGTAAATAAAATCTTTGTTAGTGTAATCAAGTTAAAATGATATCAACTTGGATTAGCAAGGGCCCTAATCCAATGGCTGGTATGCTGATAAGAAAAGGGAATTTTGAGTCCATGGGGAAGACAGTTCAAGAATGCCAAGGATTTCCTGAAGCCACCAAAAACTAGAAGAGAGGCATGGACTAGACGCTCCCTCAAAGCTCCTGAAAGGACGCAGCCCTGACAACACCTTGATTTTGAACTTTTAGCCTAGAAATGTGAGCAAAATAATTTCTATTGTTTAAGCCATCCAATGTTGTGATAATTTGTTATAGCACAGCCCCAGGAAATCAATTCAGCTCCCTTCTTTCTTCTGGAAAAGAACATAATCAGAAGCCATTTCAGAATAAGACTAATAAATCTAATAAATTAAAGAATAACAATAATAATAAATAAATAATAAATCAAAAATTAAAAAAAAACCTTTTTAAAAGAAGCCATTCCAGGATCATGTTTTTATAGGTTGCCATACAAAGTAAAGAAAGGGCTCCTCTCTTCTAGAGTCCTCATATGGGTTTCCATTCTGGTCATCTACCTGCTTATTCAGGGGCCCACCCCTTGTCCTAGAAAGTGGGTCTTGTAGCTGGCAGCCCCAGTAGCCACCAGAACTTGGGAAGGGGACAGCAGCAGATACACACTTCAGACTGCAACTCCTCTAGACCTCAGGGTTGGGCTAAGGAATATGTTGAGCTACTCCAGGGCTTGGGTAAGCCAGCTCACAATGTAGATGGTGAACCAGAGGCCAAACTACACCCAGAATGTGAGGGAGGAGGAGGAGGAGGAGGAGGAGGAGGAGGAGGAGGAGGAGGAGTCATCTTTTTCCAAACTGTCTCCTGGGCTGTTTAGATTTGGTAGCCTCTCAGTGTCTTGACAAAGGCCATCTCTTCCTTAAGAGTCTCAGAGTTAGCCTGGGAGGAAGCCTGACCCAACAGGTCTAATCAGAGAAAGGAGCAGAAGGCAGAACTAGAGGAGAGGGAGGGGCCTAGGCAAGAGCCCACCATTGACCATCATGAATCCCCAAGAAGAGGGTCCTAAAGAAACAAGTCAGGAAGGAACAAAGGCAAGGACTCGGCAGCAGGTCTACTCTCTCTAGGCTAAAGGGGAGAACATATTGAAGGGACTAAAGATTTTAGGAAGAATTAGTTTATTTCACTTAGCATGATAGTCTTCATATCCATCCATTTACTGGCAAATGCCATAATTTCATTCTTCTTTATAGTTGAGTAATATTTCATTGAGAATATATACCACAGTCCCCCAAAACCAAAAACTGGATGTTCTCCCTGATATGTGGATCCTAACACACAATAAGTGGTGGGGCGGGGTGGGAAGAATAGAAGTTCATTGGATTAGACAAAGGGTAATGAAGGGAAGGGAGGGGGGAAGGGAATAGGAAAGACAGTGGAATGAATCAGACATAACTTTCCAATGTCCATATATGAACACACGCAGTGTAACTCCACATCATGTCAACCACAAGAATAGGAAATTACATGTCAAAAACACTCTACAGTCATGTATATTGAAAAAGAACAATTTTTTTTTTTTTTAAATTTAGGAGGCACCTCTCTTCTTTCCCTTGCTCCTGACCAAAAAAGGTGTGTGTGGCGGGAAGGGGGACAAAAAAAATATCTAAGATTCAGATTGGTGTGACTCGCTCACAGGAATACATGACCTTCCAGTGGACACAGGCAGAGTTTGCAGAGCAAGAGCCCCGGGGTGGGGACAGTGCTACTGGGTGAGTCAGGGCTGGTTTGGAGACATGGCTGCCAGGTGGGACAACAGAGCACGGCAAGGAAAGCCGCTGCTAGAGCGGACAAGCTGCAGCCACTGGGTGGGGCAAGTGTGGCCCTAGAGCCTGCCTGGAGTCGGTCCATGAGGTCAGGTGAGGAGAGCACTGCTGGCCCTTCCACATGCCACTCCTCTGGCTCTCAAGCTGAATAAGGAAGGCGGACCCCAGCCAGCAGCAGACGGACCTTCCTGCTGCTCTTGCGGCCAGTGCCCTCCAGCGCCCACTATTCTGGAGCCTCACATTGTGCCAGCTGGCCAAGGAGCATGTTTCCAGGGTGTGAGGAGGAGGGGCCTGCTTCCTCACACCCTGACAGTGTTCTCCAAGGCACAGCAGAACTTCCTCTCTAAGGAGTCTGGGAGCTGGGGCTGATCTGGTGCCAACTGGTTTGTTAGACATGAGTGACCAACTGTGTACTGAGGGGTGGGGAAGGAAGTGGAAGATTGCATACGAGCATTTTGTGTGTTATTCAGTGTTTTAAGTCTTTAGTTGCTTCATACACATTGTCTGTACTCCTGATAAAATCCATGAGAGATGTTTATTAGTCACATCTTATAGATGAAGAGACTGAGGCTCTGAGAGGTTAAGTAACTTGTCCAAGATTACTCAGAAACAGCATCGCAGGCAGGATTAAAATCTTCGCTGTCTGCTTTTATAGGTGGCATTCTTGTGAGCTACCATACTTTAGATGACATGTCGATGAATGTGATTTTCTTATAGGCCCCACCATGGGGATGCTTCCAGAGAAAAACCAAAGCTGGGTTTCTGAATTTGTGCTGCTTGGCTTCTCCAGTGACCCCATGTCCAACAGGGTGCTTTTCTTTGTCTTCCTTCTCCTCTACCTGAGCTCAGTGCTGGGCAATGGGCTCTTCGTTGCCCTGATCTGCCTGGACACACATATCCACACTCCCATGTACTTCTTCCTCTGTGTCCTCTCGGTGCTGGATATGAGCTACATCACCACCACCGTGCCCCAGATATTGGTGCATCTTCTGGCTCACTCTCGGACCATCTCCTTTGCTGGCTGTTGGCTGCAGATGTATGTGTTTTGTGCTCTGGGACTGACCAAGTGCATCTTCTTTGTAGTCATGGCTTATGACCGCTATGTGGCCATTTGCTATCCTCTGAGTTATACCATCATTCTCAACTGGAGACTGTGCACACAGTTGGCAGCTGGGACATGGGCCTGTGGTTTCCTCTTCTCTCTGGTCCATACCTTCCTCACTATGAGGCTGCCATACTGTGGGCCTAATAGGATCAACCACTACTTCTGTGAAGGGCCCTCCGTGCGGAACTTGGCTTGCACAGACACCCAGCTGATTGACATGGTGGACCTGATCATCAGTGTCTTTGTGGTTGTCACCCCACTCTCCCTCATTCTGGCCTCCTACATTCGTATCACCCTGGCCATTCTCAAGATCAAGTCCACCCAGGGCCGCTGCAAGGCTTTTTCCACCTGTGCCTCCCACCTGACTGTGGTCACACTCTTCTATGCTCCAGTGACTTACATCTACACGAGGCCCAACTCCAGCTACTCTCCAGAGCAAGACAAGCAAATCTCCCTCCTCTACAAT